GGTTTCTCGTCCTGGTGTGAGTCGTTCGGGCCCTTCTTCCTGGTGTGAGTCGTTCGGGCTCTTCGTGGTGTGAGTCGTTCGGGCTCTTCGTCCTGGTGTGAGTCGTTCGGGCTTTCTCGTGGTGTGAGTCGTTCGGGCGCCTCGTCCTGGTGTGAGTCGTTCGGGCCCTTCCTTGTGGTGTGAGTCGTTCGGGCTCTTCGTGGTGTGAGTCGTTCGGGCCCCTCGTCCTGGTGTGAGTCGTTCGGGCTCCTCGTGGGGCCTCTTGGGGGCCTCTTGGAGCCTCTTGGGGCCTCTTGGGGGCCTCTTGGGGGCCTCTTGGGGGCCTCTTGGGGGCCTCTGGGGGCCTCTTGGGGCCTCTTGGGGGCCTCTTGGGGGCCTCTTGGGGGCCTCTTGGGGGCCTCTTGGGGGCCTCTTGGGGCCTCTTGGGGGCTTCTTGGGGGCCTCTGGGAGGCCTCTTGGGAGCCTCCTGGGGGCCTGTTGGGGCCATCTTGGGGCCTCTTGCGACCTCCTCAGAAGCGCAAAGGAGCGCTGGCCCCTGAGAGGGACAGAATGAGCCCAAAACCTTCGTAAAATCAATGATTTTGCTATGAAGGAAGATGAGCGCGGCACCCTCAGAAGTCCAAAATGGGGCCAAAACCCTAGTAAAATGAATGATTTATGCTTCGAAGAGGAGTAGAGGCGCCAAACTCCCCCCCCCCCTGGGGGCCAGAATCCTCGTGAGGGTCGTCGTTTTTTGGCCCTCCCAGGAGTCGAAAAAGACCCCCTTGATCCCACTCGGGACGCCCTCTCCAGGTCCAGAGGAGGGGGTAGGGGGAGGGGTAAACCCCTCCCCGAAGGGGAAGATAGGGGGTTAGGGGGTTGAGAACAGAGAGAGCTCGCTAAACCACTCACGCCCAAAGGGCTGGTGGGATTCAAAGTGGGTCCTCGGGGGGGCTGTTGAGATCTCGTGGGCTCTCCCTGGGCCGCCATGGGCCCTCCTGGAGCCTCCGTGGGCTCTCTAAGAACTCTCTCGCGGGGGCGGAATGATGAAAACAATTTCACGCATGGGGGCCTTTCCGTTAAGAAGGGGGGCGCGGTGCAGAGTGGGTCCTCCTGGGGCCTTCCGGAGGTCTCCTAGGCACTCCCGAGGCCGCCATGGGCCCTCCTGGAGCCTCTGGGGGCCTCTAAAAAGCCTTTCGCGGGGGTTGAAAAATGACGACAGTTTCACGGATGGGAGCCTTTCCGTTGAGAAGGGGAGCGCGGTGAAAGGTAATAAAGTGACGACAGTGTCGCATTTTTGAGGCCCCAAATCGTCTTTGGGCACCTCGGGCGCGAACCCCGCTCCCGCATAGTACGGCGCGATTTCCCCTCCCCCCGCTGTCCCGCCGGACCCCGGGAGGGTGATTTTTGTGGTTTTCGCTTGTAAGAAACACTTCCCCCCCTCTCGACGGTGACGGAGGGCAGGCGGCGGGGGTGGGCGAGTTGACGGGGTGGCGGGTTGGCTGGGGTTGCGGGGTGGCCGGTTGGGCTGGTTGAGCCGGTTGAGTTGTTTGGGTGGCTGGTAGGTTGGGTTGGCTGGTTGGGCTGGCTAGGGCAATTGGTTTCGATTGTTGGACACCCTGAGTGCGCTCTCGCGCTCTCGCTGAGGCGCAGGCTGCATGTCCTTTCAATGAGTCTCGCGCTCAGGTTGTTCTGGATTCCGCCAAAACCGGCACCCCAACAACAACAACAACAACAACAACAACAACAACAACAACAACAACAACAACAACAACAACCACAACCACAACCACAACCACAACAACAACAACAACAACAGCAACGTCAACAACGTCAACAACAAAGCTCTGGCTCGATACTTCTTCCATTCTCTTTCGGGACAGGGGGCTATTGCTCGCCCCCGAAGCCGCCTTTGCAACCAAATCGGCGCTCCTGCTCGATACTTCCTTTCCTTTCACCTCAGGACCGGCGTTCCCGCTTCAGGACCTCCAACAAACAACGACGCTCCCACTCGATATTCCGTCCGTTTTTATTTCAGACGCCCAGGAGGCCCTGACGCTTCGCTAGTCCCTGTTGGATCTTCATTAAGAAACAGTTGTTACGGTTGGACATCCTGAATGCGCTCTCGCGCCTGCTCCGCGCGACCTCGCTCTCGCTCATGTCATGAGGCGTGACGTAGTGGCCGTCGCCGCCGCCGCCGTCGCCGTCGCCGTCGTCGTCGTCGTCGTTGTCGTCGCTAAAACATTGTCCCCGCGCGACCTCACTCTCTTTCGTGTTCTGGGGCGTAGAGTCGTCGTCGTCGTCGCCGCCGCCGCCGCCGTCGTCGTCTTCGTCGTCGTCGCCGTCGTCGTCGTGTTCTGGAGGCCGTCGGGGGCCTCCTGGAGCTCCTGGGGATACCTAGGGCCAGGGACATTGTTTTGGCAGGACGAGTACAGGGAGGAGGAGGAGGAGGAGGAGGAGGAGGAGGAGGAGGAGGAGGAGAAAGAGAAGAAGGAGGAAGAGGAGGAGGAGGAGGAGGAGGAGGAGGACGACGACGACAGCGACGACGACGACGATGACGACGACAGCGCCGGCGGCGGTAGCGGCGGCGACAACGACGACGACGACGACAAGCCCCAGCGCCATCAGAAAGCGGCCGACGCAAAAGCGGTGCCCTGGACGGGGTCGAAACTTTAGGGGCTTAGGTTTCGAAGTTTATCTCAGAGGCTCTGGGGGCTCTCCGCTGGTCTCTCCCAGAGGTTTTGAGGCTTTTCCCTGATGTCCTGGGCCGTTCAGGTGTCGTGATACCTAGAAGAAAACTTTCGCAGGAGGATTGCGAAGGCGATGCCCTATCTGGGCTGGAGATGTCGAAGTGCCTCGGAAGAGGTGTTGTCAAGACCTCCTTGGGCGGGAGATCAGAGAGAGGGAATGCTGGGCCTCCGTGCGCAAATAACATCTCCTCATGAAGGCAAGCTAGCATGATGGATACATGATGCATATAGAAGCAAAGAGCCTTCGGGTACAATGTGTGTTAATGTTGTTCTTAGATTATAATGTTAAAGAGTCGTCATTGTCAAGCACTCATGTCCGGTGATTTTTGTATTTTCAAAATAGACTGCTTATCCCAGCGTTCGCACACGTTCTTACACAAGGGAAAGCTGGGTGTCACCAAACTGGGCCCTTGGCCCCCGGTCTACAAGAAAAACAATTGCTGTCGCCTAAAATCGCGTTCTCCGAAATTGCTGGGCGCTTTCCCTCACAGTGTATTCCGAAATCGCGTTCTCGCGCGGGACGTCCTCATAGATTATACAGGGATCGCGCTCTCGCGTGGGACTTTTTCGCAATGTATTCGAACACCGCGCCTTCGACACTCAGGAATCACGCTCTCGCTATGGATATCCGCAAGATGTATACTGGAACCGCGTTATCTTTCGAGACTTCCTCGCGATTCATGCAGGACGCACGCCTCAACAACCCGCCTGCCTTCCCGACCCGCCCGTTAGGGTCTACCCGTCCGATCTGCCCGTCTAGTTCTGCCCGTCTGGTCGAGCCTCACTCTTGCTATTATCGCTCGTGTTCCATCCTCCTCCTTCCCCCATTTCTCCCTTTCCTTCCATCCGTCCTCTCTTCCCCTGCCTTAGGGTCTGCACGAAATACACGTTGCAGGTAAGAAAGATCTGCCCTTAAGGGGGCGCGATCGAAGACGAAGAGGGCGGGCATCGAGGGTTTAGGATACACGTGTTGAATGGAATGCGAACAGGTTGTAGGGAACAGTCTTGAATTGGTTTTTGTTGGTGTTGGTGTTGTTGCGTGTTTGCGTTGTTGCTGTTGTCGTCGTCGTTCGCCCGCGACCCGGCCCGCGACCCACCCTCGACCCGGCCCGCGACCCACCGCGCGACCCACCCGCGCGACCACCCGCGACCCACCCCACGAGCCGGTCGCGACCCTCCCCGCGACGCAGCCGCAAACCACCCGCGACACACCCCGCGCCCGCCCCTCGCCGTTATCCACAACAGCGAGGTGCTACATCGTATAGATATTCTGCTGCTGGGCTTTCACACTAACGGATTTCGGAAAACGCTGAGGCCCCGTGCATGTGGAGGGGATTACCGTTGGAGGCCTGGGTCGTGTCTCAGGACGGGCCTGTGTTCACCCTTGTTGTTCGTAGCGCGTGGCGACGACGCTACTGCGTCGTATCTTTGAATGCCATGCCATTCCCATGCGTGTTTCTCATCCCTCATGCCCCATGTGGATGAGGAGGAGGAGGAGGAGGTGAAGGACGAGGAAGTAAGAACCCGACGTGGATTGAGACCGACTGAGACCGACCTCAGCACTCGGGTGGGCCGCGCGGGCGGCGCTTTTTTGCAAACGCGGGGTAAACACTCGCAGAACCGCCGAGTCAGGCTCGCCAGTCTGGCCTGGCCGAGCCGAGGGCCTTGCACCCAGGTCTCGCGTTGGCGCTCGGACCAACAGTTGAGCTACATCATTCGCGCGCAAGCTGCCCGCGTAAGACCGCGCGTAAGCGCGCTCAATTTCAGGCGGCGTCCTGCGCATGCGGCCTGCGCAAGCGATCGCGTAGGGTTGCCGCGTCCTCGAGCGAATTAATTCTTCGTGGCTCGTGGGCGGCATTGGGAGACCATCACTTGGACTACAGCTGCGATTACTTGGATCGCTGACCGGGCTTTGGCCCACCCGCCGTGTCCTGGTAGGGCAGTCCTTCAGGACGCACCTCGGCACCTCGTCTCATGGATCGTGCTAGTTCTGTGTGTTTCCATATGCTTTTTTTCCGTCGGCCCGAAGCGACATTCGAAGCGCATGTTGTGATTCACTGGAGGTCATGATTGTTGTGGAGGGTGTGCGAGGCTCCCGATGCGCATCACCTCGAAACTCGCGGTAACAAGTGCATGCAGGTAGGACTTCAGGCGTGCCACCTCGGCCGACGCGCGACGCCGCGCCCCCGCCCCCGCCGCCATCGCAGACGCCTCCGCCCACCGCGCCGCCGCGCCGCCGCCGCCGCTCCGCCGCCGCCTCTTGCCCTGACGCCAGCAGAGCCGCGCCGACACCCGCCCTGCTGTCCGAGCTGCGCCCGTGGCCTTCGGCCCGTGGCCTGCGGCCGCCGCGCGCATATCGCAGCCTCCCCGGCGTCGAGCGGGCCGCGCGGCCCGCTGGCCGTGGGGCGGCGGGGCAGCCATGGCTGCGCCCGAGGCCTCGCCGGCGCCGGCGGCGCACGCCTCCGCCAGCGGGGAGGACGCCTGTGCGTCCGGCGACGGCGACTGCGACGACGGCGGCGACGACGATCGGGTGCCCCAGGCCCACAGCGCCCCCAGGATTTCCAAGGGGCCCCCTCGGCCTCCAGAGCACCCCTCACGAGGCCCATGAGGCTCACGGGCCCCAGATTCGACGAAAAGCTAGGGGTACCTTCTGCCAGGGGCACCATCAGCAACCCCTGATCGAAGGTTCAGGTTTTGGGCCCGGATGGGGCTCTGCGAGCGGACCCCAGGAGCGCAATCTGGGGGGGGATGGCCAACCCTCTCCCCTAGGCTCCCTTCTGAGCCCGCTCGGCGCGCCTGAGCCCGTTCGGTCGCCGCTTGGAATCAACGATCGAGCTCATTTGGCGGCCGAGCAAGCTCATACGACGAACGGGCTCAGAAGAGAACCGTGGGGTTTCTGACGGGCCGTTTTCGGCTCCTGGGGTCGTTTTCGGGACGAGAAAAGTCACCCCTGGGGAATTGGTCGGGACTTCTCAGATACAATAAAAAAATAGATCGGCGGATATAAGTCGCGCAGTGGCGAGGCGTCCCGATTTGGTTGTTGGCCCACCAACGGATGTTCTAAGAAACTTTTGCGGTGTGCGCGAGATGCTCTTATAATGTGTATATATATATATATATGTTTGGTTGAGACTGTCTTGTTCCCAACCATCCTGTGGTGTTGGGTCTTCGTTTAGAAAGGCGCCACGCGTCCGCCTCCTCATCCCCCCTCCTCTCTCCCCTGGCCCACCAAGAGAGTAATGCCCATTCGATCCCCTTCAGCTCGGCAGACTCGAACTTGTTAGCTCGTGCTGCCCTGCAGGCTGCCGAATTGCCTCTCGGCGGTGCTCTTCGATGGCGGCAGCGGCGGCGATGATGAGGACATGACGTGCCCCCCCCTATGTCGCTCCAACCTCCCCCCGAGGACCTCCTCCCAACTCTGCCTCTGCTCTCCGCGTGTCCATTCGGCACACCCCTCACACTTTCGTGGCCCCATCTAGGGAGCTCTACCGAAGGCTCCACTGGCACCGTCCGCATGGGTCTGCCCCTCCCAGCACGGCGCTTCGTGGCCCCATAAGGAGCTCCACCGACCGATCGCTCCGTCCGCATGCGTCTCCCCCGTCCAGCACAGCGCTTCGTGGCCCCACAGGGAGCTTCACCGAAGGCCCCAGTGGCACCGTCCGCATGCTTCCCCTCCTCCCAGTACAACGTCTCGTGGCCCCCTAGGGAGCTCCACCGAAGGCTTCAGTGCACCATCCGCATGCGTCTGCCCCTCCCTGTACGGCGCTTCGTGGCCCCATAGGGAGCTCCACCGACCGCCCCAGTCGTTCCGTCCGCATGCGTCTGCCCCACCCAGTACAGCGTTCGTGGCCCCATAGGGAGCTCCTCCCCTGTCCAGCACGGCGCCTTGTGGCCCGATAGGGAGCCCCAACGAAGGCCTCAATGATTCCGTCCGCGTGCGTCTCCCCCACCCGGTAAAACGCGGCCTGCGAGACTCTTTGCGCGGCCAATGTTAGAAAAAGAACTAGAGGAGGGTCAGGGGGGAGCTGACGCTTTTCAGGCCCGTAAGGAGCTCCACAGATGGCCCCAGTGGCGCCGTCCGCATGCGTCTCATCCACCCAGTACAGCGCTTCGTGGTCCGAGAGGGAGCTCCTCGGAAGGCCTCAATGGTTCTGTCCGCATGCGTCTGCCCCACCAGTGCAACGCTTCGCGGCCCCGTAGGGAGCTCCACAGACGGCCACAGTGGCACCATCCGCATGCGTCTCCCCCGTCCAGCACAGCGCTTCGTGGCTCCATGGTGACCAGCCTAAGGCCCTAGTGACAGCGCCCGCATGGCGGCCCCGCCCTATTTCGGCACACCCCTCACACGCTCCGCGGCCCCAAAGGGAGCTCCACCGAAGGCCCCGGGGGGAGCGCCCGCGTGGCGGCGCCAGTTCATGTCGGCACACCCTTAGCACGCATCGTGGCCGCATGAGGAATGCACGGACGGCAACACTCACAGCGACGGTACTCCCAGTTGCAAGTGGTTGGGCCCTTCGCTTGGAGAACTTCCTGACTCTGCCTTTTTGTTTCTAGAACATTTGTACTGTCCGTAGAAAACTCTGTTCGTTCTTAGACTATTCTTTGGTTATGAGAGCATTTCGTGGTAGGCCCATCGACTGCCGGGGCGGTCGTTCCCTGCTCAAGTAAGGGCCCGCCTCGGCCTCTGGCCCCCCTGAGATGTTGGCGTCGCAGGTGTTCCGCACGCTGGGTGGGCTTGCCCGCATGCTCAGGTCACGGGGCTCTTGTGGATCGATTCGGTTCGAGAAGCGCCGCGGGAAGATGGGGTCAGAGGAGGAACAGGTACCATACCGGCACGTTTCCCTCCTTTTCCCCTTTTTCAGCTTCCTGCCTGGGAGGCCCTCGTCGCCACTGCCAGATTCGCCTTGAAATTTTGGTCGGAACGCACCCCAGGAGAGGGCCGTGGAGTATTGGTGTCGGTACCTTTGGGCTTCCCCAGCCTGGGGCCTTTGGTCGAGGTTTCTCCTGAGGTTGGTCGGGTCTCGGGAAGATGCGTCAGGATGACGAGGTACAGTCAACCCGCATAGCAAGGATGGGCAATTTTCCCAGGGGTATCCTTGCATCCTTCCCCTTCGGCCCATCCTTGGCCGCTTTCGCTGGCCGCGCCTCGCCCGCAAAGAGTCGGCATGGCCTTCCAAGGCCCTTGCATCCTGATCGTGCGTCCTTATGATACGGGTTGACTGTGCAGCGATCCACCAGGCGTCTGTCGAGCGCCATGCGGCTGTGCCTGCTGCTCTGCGCTGGGTCGGGCACATGATTGTAGTGGCGATGCGTTGCCCCTGCCGCCTTCAGGGGCAACGTCAGGGGGGGATCGGCTCAGGGGGGACGCATCGGACCCCCCCATCGCCCTCTGATCGACGACAGGGGGCTCGATAGCCCACCCCGTCCAGGAGCTCTCGGATTCGCTGTCGGGGGGCTATGGCCGATCTATCGGCGATGCAGCATCGATTCGAGCTCGATGTTTCTGCCCGCCCCCCATGAGCCGGTCACTCCCTCAGGTCGCCCTTCCGGCTGCTCAAATTTCTGTTCCTCGTCGTCATCGTCCTCTTTTCCGCTCCTGGGGGCCCTTGCTCGGCCGTTGGGCCGACGAACACCGGCTCGGACTGAAAAGCTGATCCCCGGGAGGGGTGCAGACTTTCTCGGGGCCCACGACGTGGAAAAAAACACCTTCGCCAGCCCCGCGCGCGAACTCTCCCGCGCCCCACCCCACCCCACCCCTACCCCGCAGTGGTTTCCCTCCCTCCTTGTCCTGCTCCTACTTCTAGTCGGACTTTCTCCTCGGCGTCTTCTGCTCTTTCTGTTGCTCCTGCTCCTGCTGTCCTTCATTGTGCTCCTCGGGCGTCCTTCATCTGTTCATTGTGTTCCTCAACGTCCCCATTCCTCCTCATTCTCTGCCTCCGCCTCCTTCTTTCCGTTCTCCTCGTCACCAGTCCTTCCCCCGCACTCCTCGCACCCCTTGCAGTCCCTACCCCGCCCTCTCCCCAGGATGGCCCCAGGGAGGACAGCTCCGATCTCGAGACGATATTCGAGAAGCTCCTGAGCGTGGTTGGCAGGGCTCGTCGTGGTCGTCCTCGCCCTCGTCCCGTTTCTTGTTTGTGTGTTTACGGATGTGTTGGGTGTTCTTTCGGCGGCATCGGGGGGTTCAGGAGGTGCCCATTGTCCGAAAGACGGCGGGGAAAGAGGAGGAGAGAGGAGGAGGAGGAGGAGGAGGAGGAGGAGGAGGAGGAGGAGGAGGACGGGGAGGAGGAGGAGGAGGAGGATGAGAAGGAGGAAGAGGAGGAGGTGTTACTGTATAGCGTTCCGACCGTGGGAATAAAATGCGCTTCGCCGTGCAAGACAGCAACGTGGCACACACCAGTTAGATAGCAGTGTCAGACAGCAGGGTGTTCACACAATGGTTGCCTCTCTGTTGTTTGGCTCAAATTCGCTCTGCTTCCAGGGAACAAAGTTCCTATTATATGTGCATGGCAGCGGGGCCCGTGGTTTGCCCCACGGGTTTCAGTACGGGTGGCTAACTCTGCGATTTTTCCTTTTTTTTTCCAGAAAATTGCTGCAGCGGCAGCCGCAGCGGCATCAGTGAAATCTTGCGCAGCTGACCCAAACTTCAACTAACGGTATCCAGAGTCTGATATGCTTGGTACAACTTGAGCCCGTGCTGATACGGGGGGCTGTGCAATGCCAGTTTTGCGAACGGAAGTTTCAGGCATGTGAAATGGCATTCAGGCCCAACCATGAAAAACCATGTTCGGGCATAGTGCTTCACAGGACACCAGCACTGCTGGCAACGCTGATTCGTTCACAGCGCCGCAGATGAATTGCAACATGAACCGTCTCCTGACCTAAGTTTCCAACCGCAACATGCACTGCGAGGGGAAACCCATCATTTCCAAGAAGCACATCACGCAACATCACATCCGGAGCACATGCAACCCATATTGTTGAGCCGATGCAGTCTGCAGGGCACGCCAGGGCAGGCGGGGGTGAATGCAAGCCTGTGAGCAAAGACAAGGCGATCCAACGCATAAGAACACCCTCGCGCGGCAGGACCAGGTTCAGAACATTGAGCGACCAGCTGTTGAATACATTCGCCCAAAATAAGCACGGGCATTGGACAACCAAGCAGAATTTGAGCAACAAGCTCGAAACAATGAGTGGGGCGTTGCCCGATGACGAAGACGAGGTCCTGATACAGGTCATTTTCTGCAGGTAAACATTGAGCGAGTACACGAAGGCTGGCGCCGAACAACAACAAGGAATCTGGCGAATTCGTGTCGTTTGAGAGAGATGCCTACAGCTATGCCAAAGTCGACGAGAAATTTTGGTATTTGGTCAGTGACAAACCGGAGGTACACCGACACGTGTAAAGCTCAAGGGTTTACACGAAGGTGGCGTGTTTATGGCCGCTCAGAAGATATACACATCGCATATTGCCGCTGCTGGAATCACATTCGCAAGCAAGATGAACCATGCCACGGACCTTGAACAAACCGAAGCAAATAACATATGTGGCTACCCAGCTCGAATCATGGGTGCGAGGGTAGAGTCGTTGTGAAAAGTATGGATCTGCTTAGTCGTGACCATTGGAACGTAAGTTTCTTGCGCCGAGGATCATCATGACTGTCAACAGGATTGCTTCAAGATTCCCAAATCGTTAAGTCTTGACAAAGAACCGCGTCGCTTCATATCAAGATTGGGCGATGAAGAAAAGATTAGACGCCGTCGCGAAAACAACAACAATCTCGACGGATAGCGGCCAGGTTAACGACGAGAGCAACAGTGGCTCAGATTCCGTCGTCGGTGGCTCAAGTTATCGACTGACGTTCAGCCCATTCCTTGGGCCGTTTGGGGCCCCCCCTGGGGCCCCCTTGGGCCGGCACGGGGCAACGTTGGCGGCTTCTGGGGCCGCCTGGGGGCGCGGGGAAGCCAAAACATTCGACATCAAACCACATTCAAAACCTTTTTACGCACGTAAATGGTTTATTGGTTGACGGCGGCAGTAAGAGTGCAAAGAGGAGTTTGCGAAGCGCGCGCGATTTCTGGGGAATCTTTGGGTTTCAGCTTCTTGGGATTTCGTCGGGGGCAGTTGGCGGATCGCGTTTTCGATTTTTGGGCTTCTCTGGGCCCGCCTGGCAGCACTTTTAAGGCTACTTGGGGGTCGCGTTTTAGGAGCTTCTTTTGGGCCTCTCGGGGGCCTTGTGGGAGATTGCCGGCAGCCCATTGGCGCATCCTTTTCGGTGCCGAGTGCTCGAAATGTTCATTTGGGTTCCCCCTCTCGGCCTCCTCCCGGGGCCGTCCTGGGACGTTTTGGATGCTTCTGGGGCCGTCTTGGGCCGTCTTGGAGCGCCCTTGGGGGCCTCCGGGGTATCTCGGGTCGATCTCAAAGGCTTCTTGCGGCGAGGTCGCTAAAATATATACGTTTTCCTTAGGGGATGGGGCGCGACTTGGGCTTCTAGAGGGCCTCTTCGGACGCCTCTTGGCGGCTTCTTGAGTGCCTCTGTAATCTTCTGGAGGAAATCTCCCTATTGGACCGTCTGGGGACCTTTTGGGGCCCTCTTGACACGTTTTGGGGCCCCACGTGGCTCCAAGGGCGCGGCCGGCCCCCCTCGCGGCCCCCGCCCCCCCGCCCCCCCTGTCACGCCGGCCAGGCCAGGCTCCCAGGGGAGGGGTTTAGAGGGGGGGGGTCATCTCGCGCGCCGCGGCTCCAAGGGGTCGGCGGACCCGGGCATCTCGGGTGCTTCTTGGGGGCCCGGGCGTCTGGTAAGCTCGTCGGGCCGCCCGGCCCAGCTCGGGTTCGAAAAATTCACGCGGGGCCCCTTCAAGTGCCCAGGGGGCCACTTCAAGTGCCCAGTCGGGATCCCTGTTCCTTGAGAATTCCGCGGGACAAGAGTTCAGTGGGCCAGGCAAGAGGCCCGAGGACGCACCCGCTCCGCGCCCGGATGCGCGGTTGAGGATCGCGACTTAAGCGGGAACTGGTCGACCTGGAACGCGGGGGACATGGGCGGAAATGGCAGCGCGAACAAAGCGAGCAGAGAACAGGGCAAAGGCCGACGGCACATGCGTTGCACGTGCGGAGGATGCGGGCACATTTCCGCGGGCGATCTACTCGCGCCGCACCGCGGCCACCTCCCTAGTGCATTTTGACAAGTGCCGATTGCGCGTGATAGTGATGAAGGGTTTGTAGACTGACTTACGCACGCGTCCGCGCTCTTGGAAATCCTCGCGGGGCCCCGCGATTTCGCGGGCGGAGGGCCTGAGAGGCCTCGCCGCATGTAGGTATTCGCCCGGGCGGCGCGGCGCGTGGTTTCTTGCTTTTCTGAGAGGAGAGAGAGAGAGAGAGAGAGAGAGAGAGAGAGAGAGAGAGAGAGAGAGAGAGAGAGAGAGAGAGAGAGAGAGAGAGAGAGAGAGAGAGAGAAGAGAGAGAGAGAGAAGAGAGAGAGAGAGAGAGAGAGAGAGAGAGAGAGAGGAGAGAGAGAGAGAGAGAGACAGAGAGAGAGAGAGAGAGAGAGAGAGAGAGAGAGAGAGAGAGCAACAGCGATGCTCCGTGCCGCGATTGGTTTTCATCGGCGGCCTTAGAATTGGCCGTCGGGTCTTCTCGTCGGCCTTTCTGGTCCGAGTGGGGGGGCGCGCGCCTCTTCGCTGGGCTCGCGGGCGCGCCGTCGCAATTGGTCCTTGGCGACGCCGAGGGGGGGGGGCCTGGAAATCCGGAGCTCGGCGCGATGACCAGACGTCATCCGCGCAATATGGCCGCGGGCTGCGCCGCCACACGAACGTCGAAAGAGTGCGGGTGGGGGGCGGGGCCATGCAAAGGTGCTCAGCGATTCCAAGGTGCGCAAGCAGGAGGACGCCTCGAGGTCATCAGCGCGCGAGGGGTTTTTCTGGGGGGCCATGACAACGGAGTCCGCGAAAGGGGCGCCCTAGGAGGTCACCAGGGAGGCCAAGGGCCACAATGGAAAGGACAGCGTCAGCGAGTGCTGTATCTGCGGAACAGAAATGCCACATCGCTGCCTGGCGCCCCAATAATGCCAGCGAGGTGGCTCCTGGCCAAGGAGGGGCATGAGTTCCAGGGGGGGCGGCGCAGCTTGTTGGGGCACCCCCCACCTGGGCGCGGGGTGACACAGCGTCGAAGTGGGCGAAGTGATTGGCAGAAGTAGAGCCCTGGGCGACGCCGTGCCACCGGGGCCACTTGCGGGGGCCCTGGAGCGGAGGAAGCAGATCCAGGCGACGAAGGGAGGGGACCGGAAGGCAAAGTTAGGGGTCGAAGGATCGCGAGTGCCACCTGTGGCGCCACGTGCAACCACGGCACCGACTGGGAGACCTTGGTTTCAGAGTGCACTGAGCAGGAACGGGCTGGGCGCAAAGATATGTCCCATTGCGGGGAAGTGCCCGTGAGGGATGCAATGGCATAGAAGCCGTCGCTGTTTCTGTGGACTCCGAAGCCGAAGCACCGCTGACGAGGGAAGTCGCTTCCCCGTTGGGCGCGCGGAAGCCACGCGGAGAACCTTGCAGCGCTGCGATATAGGTCCGCCACAAGGAACCACGGGCATTGGATTGTCATAGAACAGGGGCGACAGAGGATCAGGGGAAGCATGCCTATCCAAGTAGATTGCGTCCAACAGGTGCGAGGGTCTGCGCGAGATATGATCCAGACAGGGGATCGCATTGCGTTAGATCGAGACGCTGATGGGCCATAGTGTTGCCTCGAGCAGGGCAACTGGACAACGGCAAGATTGGCGATAAATTTGGGGGCTTCCAGGTCGCCGCCCGGCCCCCAAAACGGGCTGCGAGTCCGGGGGAGAGACGGCGGTGTTCCAGGCGAGGAACTGTCACGGCGGACCGGTTCTACTGATTCCATTGAGTCCGACTGGGCTCACGGGCCTCCATTGGGATCCAAAAGACGAATTGGACGAGGACGGGGGCCGCGAGTTAAGTGGCGTGGAGGGTGGTTGCTAGTGGAGAGGAGGCCGAGATACCTAAAAGGATTGCGCGCGACCTGAAGCCCCGCGAAGTTGGGGTTGAGATCCACGGCGATTCCTGCTCACCCCACC